TTTTAGAATGTATTTTACCTACTAGCAGCAATTTTTTTTACAACTATACAAAATTATATATTTTAAGAATCAGAAGTTTAGCACATTTTTCAAATATTATAAAATCAATATATAGATAAGTTTTTTGCCTTATTGTTCTAAAACTTTCTCCTCTTAAATTATATACGTAAAATCAAATAATTTATAATTTTACATGGTTAAAAAGATAATACTCACATTGGAATCATCTGCAAAATATTTTGAATTTCAAAATTGTAGGCAAAAATGAAATAAAATTAAAAAGTAAATTATTTTCTGTAATAAAATCTAAAAAATTTCCACACATATTATTACAAATAAATCTAATTATATATATATATAAATTTTAATATAGAGGCAAATTTCATCACAGATAGTGAAGATTTTAGTTTTTTTTTTTTATTTTTTTGTAAAAATGGGTATATATTACATTTCATTAATTTAATTTTATTCATAATAGCAATATAATCAAATATTTCTCGAATTATAAATTGTCTAAATAATAATAATTTTTAAAAATAAAGAAACTCAATTGCTTGGATTTATTTTGTAATTTTAAATCATTAATCAATTTCAAAAGAATTTATATTCATGAGAAATATACAATATTTTTGAAGTTCATCATTATGTACAAAGTGTACTTTTTAAAAATAATGTCTATTATAGTTAATTGTGTAATAATTACTATATAATGTCCAAACATTTTCATTACAAGAAATATTTTGTTATAAAATTGCATTTATGGATTAAATTAAAATTATAAAAGTTAATAAAGCATAAGTATCATTTTACACTAACGTTTTTAAATAATTCTAAAATCATATTATGTTTATAATCTATACAACCACTTTATTGTTCACAAGTTCCAATATTTGATACTGGTATATCCTATTAGCCATTATATTTTTACTTAATGTACACTAACCTTTAAAAATCAAATAATACTCGTTTGTTTAAATTGGTATTTGTGTATTTAGTATTTAATATTTATTATTAATAATAAAGGCTCATCAATATCTTTGCAATATATTTATGTTTAAATATTTTCTAATAGCAATGTATTTAGAATTTTAAATTAATTTTGTGTTTATTAGCTTACAGTGTTTTTCTAATTTAAAATTTAATTTGGCATCCATCTTGCCTTGCCTCTCTATTCTCTTGTATTAACTTTTTCCCTATTGTGAAACAATATCGTTTTTCAAATAATTTTTTGTTGTATATTGTACTCGAATTACGTCATTAAAGTTTATGTTATATCAGCAGTTTTTCACTATTTCTTGATAAAACTTTTAATTTAAATAATATATATTTGTACTCTTAAAAAGTATTCTAATCGTCTAATTATTTTTTCAGATATTATTTCTTATTATATACTTCACTTGTCTTTCTAAATATCTATAACAAAAGTTATGAGCATAGTAATAAAATATATTGAAGTACAACATGATTGAATAAATATTTGTAATTTAAGAATTGTTTTATAAAAACATTTGATTTTAATTAAAATTAAATAAATTTCTCAAACATTTTGTTATACATATATATTTCAATGAACATTATTATTACACAATTCTAACTGTTTGTTCGATATTTCGTAATGTACTTTATAAATTTTAGTACTTATTTTATTCAATAATAATAATAAATAAGTAATAGTACATTCATTGATCTCACTCTTACGATTCTATTTATAACATTTTCATGGATTTGAAATGAATTTGTTATCATCTTGGATAAATAGCATGTAATAGTCAAGAAATTGTAATCTTACATTGTATTAAAATAATGATAGTAAAATTATCATGATAAAATACAATATAAAATAAAATATAAACCACTTTAACTAAAAGTTGTTTCTAAATAACTTAAATTCCAATAAAACATTTGTCTAGATATAATATAGAATAGTTTAGACTTTTTGTATGAAGGAACTTCAAAAAATTATATATTTTTGTAAGATTGCATAGTAATTAATATTTGTTTAATGGTAAATAAGCTCATAAAAATATATCTAATACTTATATCTACGTGTGACTAGCTTTCTTAAAATCATTTATGAAAATAATTTTGTATTAATATAAATTGTATATTTTGATAAAATTTATCTTAAATCTGTCAAATAAAAGTTAGCTTAATAAGGTCATACTACTTACTTGCATCCAATAATCAATTCCTTAAATAAATCATTTATCGAGGGAAATAGAATTATTTGACCTTTTAAAATTTTTTCTTTTTACGCCACAGACCAATATTCTGATCTCCAGAGTAGCGTATAAATATTATGTCTCAGATCCTCTGCTTCTAAACAATCGATCGGAAAGTCTGTGTATCTTGATATCAAACTTCTGTAACCTCGACCTACCGTTGTCATCAACATTTTCTTCTTATCCGTCGGTTTAGAAGAGATAATCTGTAAATAAAATTTACGACAAATAAACATATACTATTATTTTTAATATAAATAACATTAAAATAATAATTTGTTAAAATTAAAAAGATGCTAAAACATTTAGAATAAAGATTGATTCCTGTTGTTCATTGTTTGATCACAGCAATTCTGTGATTCCTCATATATTCCTATTTATTCAAATAAACAATAGCTTTAAGACAAAACAAAAACTATACACATTGGTTATTATTTAAAATTAATCTAATTATCTGGAATTATCTAATTATATGGAATAATCAAAAGATTAAACATATTTTACGATTATAATGATTAGTTTAAACGAAACATAAATGATTTTATTAGCTAATGAGTCATAAGATTTTAAGACATAACGATTGTTGTGTATGTAAAAAAAAAAAACTAATTTAATAACTCTTGAGCTTGCTTAATATTTTCATATACTTGGAATTTTTAAACGAATGACTGTAATTATTCCAGTATTGAATAAAATAAAAATAAAAATAAGTGAAATAGAATGTATGAGTTAAATTTTTATTATTACCTGCGATACTTTCCCTTCAAATGGTCTAAACACTGTGATGGGTCTCAAAGAGTTACATTCAGCGACGACGATGCAACCCCACATTGTTCCAATATACAGTTGATTCATGCATGTCTCTAAAGCCGTAACCTGACACTTCTCCGTCGTCAGATTCTCTTCGATCGATATAGACTTGAGACTTTCTGAACAAGGCACCAACTTCGACATGTCCAATTTATTAACTATTTGCTTCGTTTCGATGTCCCATTGATATACGACACAGCCCGGATACGTGTAACTCAGCACCGAGTTTTCCGCACTCGTCAGGAATGTTGCAAACAGATTTTTACTCGCCGTTTCACCGCTTACATGCTCCAAGTCCTATTCATGTTCATGGTAATAAATATCTTTAAACGCTTACCCTAAATATTTCGACAATTCTTAAAGAAAATTATTTTTGAAACCAACACGAATGCGCAACTCAGATGTTTTTACCTGGGTGTCCAACAGATTAATGTCCTTAATGGTATAAACGGATATACGTCCGAAGCTGCGTCCTGCCCATAATTCAAAGACACGTCGCTTTCGAGGTATAACAGCAAGCGAGTAGGTTTTGATATTATCGACTGATGCGTCAATAATATCAATTTTTCGAATCTGCGTGAAAGTATTAGCAACTAGAAGAATTTTACCACTGAGAAGCGCAACGGCAAAGTGCTTCAGTTGTTCCAGATAAACGAGTGCAACAATCTGGGATTCCTAGCGGGATGAGAATTTGAATTTTAATTTTACTTTCTTATGCATAAGCTAGCTGCTAATTCACGTCGCTCTTCGTACAACATATTATTCAACGTAATTCGAATGAAAAACTTTGAGCCAGAAATAGGAAACTTTGCTTTGTTTATTGTTACATCAATTTAATTTAGCCTTTGCAATGTGTCCTAATAAAAACTTTCATTTTACTCACACACATATCTTATTAAACTGCTTTTAGTAGACACGATAATTTACTAATTTCATCATTCTTACAGCAAAAGATACATTAATCTTGTGCTTATCTATTAAATTGAAACAATCTATTAAAATCCATTACGGATTACATATTTAGAGTATTAGAAATTAGAAAGCTGTGAAGATAAAGCTGTAGATGCTGGCACCCGAAAGTTGCTAAACCTACCTTCCGATTATCGGGTTCGAGGCGTAAATTGCCGACACAGCCGAAGTTCGTACCGAGGTAGACGTGCAATTGTCCTGTGTTGTCACCTATCCAGATGTAACCATCGACGTTACACATGGCGTAGGGTACTACCGGTGTATCGATGCACACGTGCTGCAACCATCCTTTTTGCGTGCCCAAAAGCATGTCGACCTCCCCGTTGTAGTGCCCCAACCAGATCTCGTTGCCCATGATATTCTCGTCAATCTGACGATTTATCATCATCATTGTTGTTACCTGAAAGATAAAATGCGGTGTCTTTATCGTTAGGTACTCATATGCATGCGGTGAAATCCAGAATTATTATTCATAATAAAGGGCACAATGTCAACACTTTGATCGACAGACATTTAGTTTTTATTTGAAATTCTTTATAAGCATTCGTCGCTCTGACCGAGGCATACAATGTTATGAAGCACGATCATGAAAGTTACAGTACTCATAGAAAATGTGCTTTAACGCCTATTATAAACACTAAAACGAACTGGGATTACCTGAGATTTCTCAGGCAACAAAGTGACATCGATCAAGTGCGTAAATTCCGGGGCCGATGCGATCGATACGATCTGACTCGCTGTGGGTCTGTCCCTTGGATTTTGCGCCCAGCAAATAACCATCAAGTCGAGCGCATAGCAGGGATGAAGCGTCTCCCTGAATGTAAGAGGTGGCCTGCCACCCTCCTCGTGTCCCTCGAAGGGCTGTCTCAGCGTGATCAGTTCATAGATGAACATACCGAATGAGAAGGAGTCGACCTTCTCCGTATATTCTTCTTCGCCGTTGTACTTGATTATCTCGGGTGCCATGAATCCCTCCGTACCCCCGAAGCCCTTGGCGCCCGAGGGCAATGTCAGACGCGAAATCCCATAGTCGGCGACTTTTACGTGCACCGGTCGCTCGTGATAGGTCCCCTGAAAGGGAAGTGGCATCTGCCACACTAGTACATTTTCAGACTTCAAGTCCCTGCAACGAACAAATGCAATATTTGTTGCTGTGCTAATAATTATGCCATAAGTCGCTTTATAAATAACAATGCTTTAAGCAGATGATATAATTAATTTACAATTGTCCAATCAGTGCGAGCATTTTATAATAAAATTCTACCAAGTTTATATTTGAGGATTTGAGGAAGAAAAATCAACGATTATGTCAAGCATCGGATAAATTATTTCATTTTACTTTATGTAAGTATTATTTAGAAATAATATTAATAAAGCCTAAATGTATAATTGTAATTATATTATATCCGATTTATATATTTTTCAACTTTTCATGTGCCCTCTTAGTGACGTGACTCTCTTTTGTATCGATTGTACAATGCATTAGCACTAATTCGTATATTTAAGAAATGCTCTATGACTTTGAGGACTTTAAGGGTAAACGAATGTTGAATGAAGAAACACGTCCATTCGCGGCCACACCTGTATATAACGTGCTGTTGATGCAGATATTCCACGGCCTTGGCGACTTGCAGTATGATAGCTTGCAAGGTATAAGGATCGAGCTTAGCGCCGGATCTCCGGTAATTCTTGAGCGCGTTATTGAGGGCACCTTCGGGAGCCAGGTCGAGCACAAGTGCTAGTGGGCTTATGACGATGCCGATCAGAGGCACGATGTTCGAATGCCGCAATGTTAGAAGTATGTTGAGCTCCTGTCTGGCGGTGCAATAGGCTTTACACGCATACTGCAGGGGATCCCTGTCCCATTTGCTCTGCGCGGCCTTATAAGCAAGCACTGCAGACTGCTTGGAATTGGGTCCTGGTGGCACTGGCTGCAACATCTTCATGGCCACATCGGAGCGTTGGCTTTTGCCTGGTAGTTTGCACGTGCCCTTTTAAATACAGCATTATGTTGTAAGTATAGTAATTTACATAAGTGATATGTAATTACAATATTTGTAGTTATTAAAAAATGAGTTTACCAATTTGGCGTTTACAGATTTAAGAGAATATAACTCTATTCGATAAAATGACATTCGAACAGAATCGAGATGTTGATTATCTGTCAATCATAATATAATATGCACGATTGTTTTTCAAAGTCAGCAATATTCAATATTTTTTTTTTTTTTTTTTTATATGACAATTGCGCACGAATGTAAAATATCGTCTCTATCATCGATTACGCATTGTTGTTGGCTTACCTTAAAGACGAACCCAAAAGCACCGCGTCCGAGCATTTTTCCTCGTTTCATATCGTCGCTTCTTATGAGATGTTTGAAGCCTAGATCCATAAAGATAATATCCGGGGCAACTTGTGAGAGCGAGATATCGGAATGCTTTGGACAGCTGATAGATTTATTGCTATAAGCCGCGAGGATACACTCCTCTACCATCCAGGAATAAATAATTTTTTCTTCGGATAAATCTGAAAAATTTTTCGAAACGTCGGGATGACCCTCTAGAGATGGCATACGACTGGAAGTCGAGCTGTCGTAACCGACTCCACTATCACCATCAGATTTGTAGCTGTCTTGACTTTGTCGTTCTTTGTTCATATAGTACCTATGGAGATTTGCACGTAATTAGCCATAGCGAGTAAAACAATGTCACAATTACATGGAAGAACGTTCGAGCTGTAGAATTGCTTATTCGATATATCAAATTATTAAAAATGCTAAGAAAACTTAATATAGTATAAATTGTATGTTAACGCATAAATTAACTCATAACTTACAAATTGTATAATTTTTTTTTATCAAATTTCTATAAAAAATATTTGAATATATTTACATATTCTGCACTAGGATATTACATATATTGAGATTACATAGATTGTGTAAGAATACAATGAACGATTACAATGTGAAACTAATTATTATAATACCTGGGCATCTCCTCGGATGATTGCTCGGAATCGTTGAACGATTCGCTTTCGTTATCTCCGTGATCTATCAAACACCGTGGGCAGGGGATCAATCTTGTGACCAATAGCTTACCCTCGGACGTATGTACGAATCTGGTTCCTAAGGTTGGATACCAGTCCTCCAGTAAAATATCGATGTGATCGACGATTAGGGCAAGAAGTTGTGGCATACTCTCCGGTTGTGGCTCGACAACAATTGCTTGATAGCCCATTGGCTCTTCATCGTCCTCCGAGTCAGTGGAGGGTATTGGTTGCCTAATGACCAAAGTGTCTACGGGGAACCAAATCTCAAGGATGGCTGAATTCTTCAGATCGACGGAACACCAGATGCCATCTTGTTTTAACTTGAATTTATGTTGCCTGCATTACATTAAATTCGTTATTTACTTCAATCTATATATGAATGGCACTTTATTTTCAAAAGCTCGTTAAAATAAGATTTTTACATTTTGCATAATGGTTAAGGAGCAAGCACATAGGCTAACCTGTAGTCGTATGGTAAATTGCGAAAATTATAGTTGATTTCTTTAAGGCGGAGTAGTGTAATACCGGCATAACGAAGTTCGATACCAGTCTGCCAGAGAATCCATTCCGCATGAATTTCAAGTAATGCTGTGAAAATTTTATCGTCGACAAAGTCCTTGAAAGGTGTCAGGAAGGACATTACAATCTCGACAATCGTATCATCGGCGAGAATACGGGTAATGAGTCGTGACCAAAAACCACTGTAAGTCGATATAATAAATTATTTTATAATCACTGGAATAAAATTATTTAATATTTAAATTTCATACGATTGGCTTTAATTGTAAATAATGTTGGCTTATTTGTTGAAATCTATTGTATAGCATGCAAAATCGACAAGCGTAAAAAAAAAATTAATAACAAAAATGGCAAATTTGCCACGGATCGTTTTTATTTTACCAAATATATATTTTACCAAAATTTCAATTCTAAATATTCATAGAAAATTGATTCACATATATATATATTTTTTTTAATTAATGCTCCAATGATCGCAAGTGCTTTATCGCTCATTTTAATTCCATACAGATGAACGTGAACGAACGATTAACGTTTTGTCAAGAATTTTTCGGTACTATAAAATTTTAAATAACCATTGCATTGACTTTTGAAAAGTAAATAATATAAAATCATAAAATAAAATAATAATTTTATCGATAAAAAGACATAAAGAATGCTATTACTTTTAAAATACGCAATGGAGAACAAATCCAATATAAGAATGAAGATAAGCAGATGTTCAGCTTCAGCTGTTTTTTAATATCACACATTTATCTATTTTTAAACTAATATACGAATAGATTTTGCACATTTTCTAAGTATATTTTACCTGGGAAAATAGGACATGAGTAAAAGACGGGAAATCGAACAATCCGGTTGTGCTCTGGACGTTAGTATGTTTTCGGCACTGTTATTAATTTTTTCGGTATTTGGCGTTTGTCCAAAAGAGATCATTGGCGACGTTATCATTTTTGTTCTCATGTGCCAGTTACGAGATTTTACCGGAATCTTTATGATTATATTACTTCGTAAAAGATCTTCTTCTGTAGGCAATAGAGATGGAATAAGCAGCGTTCTATAATCCCAAGTTAGAGCTACTTCGAACTTATTCAATAAACTCACTATATAACTGAAAATAAAAAAAAAAAAAAAAACAAAAAAAAAACAAAAAAAAAACATTAAAAATTACACGAGTTAAAGAATTTGAGTAATGAAGTAGATAAGATGAAATAATAATGACAGTTACTTTATAATATATGGATTATTTCATTTTGAGCTATTGAATTATTAATTAAAAGACCAAGCTTGAAAGTGTAACAATTAATAATTATTCTTTTCAAGCGCTTTAACGGGAATTTGACATTTACTTGAAATATCATTGGAGAAAAGTATAATGGTCATGAGGATGAAAGCAAGCATACCCCTGAGTATCTGCGGTGGATATTCTGGACGATTTAAATACGTGTTGTATGTCATCCAGTTTCATAATTCCCGATCTCGCAAATGGATTGATTTCTCGAATCGTCACCACGTGCGCAAGCATATCGCATAACCATTGAGGATCGAGGAAATATAAATCTTTTAACGTGGCATCGTCATAATGCAAGATAATCCCATTTTCATGTAAAAATAATGTAGCTTGATGCAGCTCAGCGGGATCTCTGAAGGATCTGTGCAATTTATGTAGCTCACTATTAACCGTCGAGTAGTATTGATCAGCTTTCAGGACAGGATCCGCACCACACAATTTTCGTTCATGAGCTAACACCAATATAAACAAATTCTTATTTAAAATTTATCCATTATAATATTGAAAAAAAAATAGTATACCTATTACATCCTTTTAATTTTTTTTTTTTTTTTTTTTTTTTTTTTAAAATAAAAAATATTAGTTTAATTTTAATATTAGCAGTGTTCAATATTCATTGCATTTTCCAACATTTAGTCTTTATGCATTAGTTGCATTTTGAGTCATACTCTGGTAAATTTTACTCGGAAAATCATTGTATTACCTAATTGTATGACTACGTCTTCGAGAGCTAGATAACTCGCGGGAACTCTCTGTTCCAGCAGGAGTTCTTTCGATCCTGGAGATCTCAAACTGAAGACTACGTCATAAATCAAATTGCACAGCATCTTGATGTTATGTCTAGTCTTACAGCTGATCTCAATTGTTTCCATTACTTTTGGCAAGCCGCATTTTTCGGCATCCACAACATTAATAAACTTGTCGCGTATGTATTGTTGAAGGGCTTCACTTTGGTCGTAGGAAATATCATAATGTGTGCCTACAATGATAACTGGTGAATTCGGAGCGCGACTCTGGATGTTGACGAGCCATTGAAATATTTCATTGACACCCTGAAAGATAATAAATTGGAATAATAAATAATAGAAAAATCATACAAAATCAGATTGCTCATAAACCAATTATAATATTTCATTTAATTTAATATGCATCGGCAGTCGATGCATTAATTTTACGGGATTAAAGTTGTTAATAACGCACGTTCCGATATTTGTAGATATTTTTGCCATATTTTCACGCTTAAAGCATCTCGGGAGAGAGGAACGGATAATATCGTATGTTTTCTGTACTAATTTTAAAGAAAAAAATTCACACACACACAAAATTTATAGTACGTATAAGGAGACATTAAGTATTATTATTATTAAATATTAAATATTTTTAAAGATAAGTTGTATTACTTAGTGTACCTTGAAGCCGTCGATGATACGCCAGACGACAAGATATAAGCTACGCTTAGATAAAAAGTATTGATGTGTAACATAATACTCGCGTTGACCTCCGAAGTCCCAAGTGCGGAAATACACGGGTCCATGCGACGAGTGTCCGCGCATTTTCTTCTCGTACAACCAGTCGCCGATATCTACGCCGACAGTGGATATGGTAGTACCACGAGCGGTCTTGGAATTTATGTTCTTATTACCCATTCGCTTGGCCCAATGGTCGGAAGCTTTTTTCTTATTCGGTATTTCGCCCTCCTGTCGCAATTGTTCGAGGAGACTTGTTTTACCTGTCAATTAAAGTTATTAATGTATTACTGACAAAAGATTATCAAGTCGAATATTTCTGTCGTTATGTTAACAGCTATAGTAAATACATATACACACGTAGGATGTGCTAAGCTTGGAAATTAAATTATTCAACGATTAAGATAGAATATTTAAACATTAAGTAATTCCTTGATGCGTATTTAATATTATATATAAGCAATAAATCGATATAATAAAGAAACGGAAAAAACGATTTGACCATATAACTTTCAAATTTAGTCTAAATTCTTTCAAGCTCTTTGCGCTCATCAACATAAATCGCACTAAAAATTTTACCTATCCCCTGAATCCCAACGATCATAAGTTTCATGCGGGCATATGGCTTCGCATCCTCCAATACAGATTTTAAATAACCTATGACATCCATTGTCTTGAATTTTTTAGATTCTATCATTGATTTCAAAGGCTCCTGGAGTTTACATCCTTGAGTATTCAGATTCCAGAGCCTTGAGAGAAGGCCCATCTGTGGTGGCAATTCGTTAATATCACTGTTACCGCTAACATTCAGTACGGATAAATTGTTAAGCTCATAAATATTCGGAGGTATTTCCTAAAATAAAATAAAGTAATGCATTAATTCATTCTTAAAACTTCTAAATTCGATTTAAAAAAAAAAAAAAAAAAAAAAAAAAAAAAAAAAAAAAAAAAAAAAAAAACTTTTTATGAATAAAAATATCAAAATTATACATAAGGATAATTACTTATAACATCAAAAAAAATTGAGATATTATAATATAGAGTATAAGAGTGTATTGTAAATTATGTTATTATGTTATCAATATTGTCGTTAAAAAAAAATAAAATATTACGCGTTCAGAGGTTTAAATTAGTTGAAATTTAATTAAAACTTAAAGCGTCGAACATCAAATCGTCCCTTAATTAATCGACAAATTCAAAACAAAATTAGTGATACTTGATGATGCTTGATACCTTGAGCTGATTATTGCTCACGTCGAGCATGCTAACGTTCGGAAATAATAGATACATCTTAGATGTCGAATGATTGGATTTTGAATCTTTATCGGAATCATCATCGGAAACATAGGATAATTCGCCGTCATCGATTGACGTTAGCTGTATCCTTGTGAGTAGGTTGTTAGCTAGGACGAGGGTTCGTAGGTTCTCTAGGCGTAGGTGGCGCCGATGATTGCAAACAGACATAAGAATGACGTCGCGTAATGAATTTGTAGTTTGCCGATTTGCTGGCATTATCGGTGATTGAACTGAAGTTGTCGGAAAATAACACGCTGTGTTTGCTTGTTCCATTTCATCTGCGCCATCCACCTGTTCAAACAATGAAACAAAAATGAAAAATAAATAAATAAATAAAATTAGTGCCAGTTGTCAGTGATATTCAACAAATATCCAATATTGTATAATCGCAAAAAATATTATTTAACAAACCTGCGGAAGACTTGGCCAGCAAGAAATTTGATTGTTGGACAAATCAAGCTGCTTTAAAGTTGCTGGATACGAGGTGATGTGGCTCATTGATCTTAATGAATTATATGCCATGTTTAATCTTACCAAGCTTACCGCTAGACAAGGTAGGGCTACAGGAATACTGTTAAAAAGATTATGCGCTAAATTTAACGAAGCCAAGGCAGATTTATTGCTTGTCTGCTCGATGTCGTCCGAAATCTTTTCCGTTACCTGAAAGTTGCGATTTATTCAATATTCCATTTATGTTTACTAACAATATTATCAAAATTAAGTGGTCAGTTATTGAAAATAATTACTAATAGTAATTATGTGTAGGTGTACGTACATTGCGTACAATTTTTTTTTAATTAAAATACAAATATGGATGTGTGTTAAAATGTTTAAATTGATATTATGTATTGGAATGTTCATTGCACTCGGAGTACTAATTGGCTAATACTTCAAAAATTTTTTATTTCATATTTTATATATTACTTTATATATGAATTGTATGTTGTAGAAAGATATTTAAGATCTTCGATAGAAAAAATATCAATGATAAACTTAATAGAAATTTTGAAATGACATATTCATTAGGAATTCAATCAATTTCGAATATATAAAATTTTAATTTTCATATATTAAAATATTAAATATTAAAAAATTTATAATACACAGTTAAATATTTGATCAAACATTATGAATATCGTTTTTTCTTTTTTTTTTTTTTTTATTTCATAAAACTTGATGTTTCTGTTTTAAAAATTCTGCTAAAAATGAATATTTATCATTATCCTAGAAATGTTTGCTTTTTTCTTTTAAAATTCACTATTTTTAAATGCTAAGCCACTGAAATAATCCCTTATTTATATATAATAATTTAATTCTTATAATATCACATAATTAGTTATATTATTTATAAAAGTGGTATTATTGTATTGAATACTTCTTTGCAAACATTTCGAAAATCATTCATTCAATTTCTATACCTTTTTATTACATACTATAAACGTAATAAATTAATTTTTTTTTCTAAATTCTTTATAATTTCGAAATTATTGCATCATTCATTGTATAATGATACAATTATACTGCACAATTACTTGTAAATACTTTTTAGTAAACTGATTGTTCATCAATCGTTTACATGTCACTAGACAAATTAATTATTTCATTTATATACACAATTGATATATACCTGCACGGATTTGGTCCACATAAACGGTCTCTCCATCTCCATGATCCTTGCGTTCGCTATCCTTGAATAATAGGAATCGAATTCCACTGACTCGTCCCGCGGCAGGGAGAATTGCGTCGACAGATTTCTAATGCTCGGACTACTCGTGAGTGAATCTTCCCTGCTCTTTCTGCCTACATTTTGGAATATATGGCTGGGTAGGTCACGTAACAGATTGAACGAAGCATTCAACTCTTTAAGTTTTGGGGCACGCCAGAGGTTCTCGGGCAAACATTGCAGCTTGTTATTTGACACATCCATAATTTCAAGAGATGGCATATCAAGGATGAATTCGGGTAGTTGCTCCAGACGGTTATCCTGGAGATAGACCTCTTCGAGAATCGGACACAGCTTGCTCTTGGGATTCTTGGGTTCTGCTGTTAAAGCCTCAATTTTATTTTGAGCCATATTGAGGTACCTAAGTAACGACAATAAAATGAAAATCAACTACAAACCACGTAGAGTAAAGCAAAGACCAATAAACAATATTAGTGAAAACGAGATTAAAACGTACAAACAAAAGCATTTGTACGATATCGCACCTAAGGCTCTGGAGGTAAAAAATTGTGGACGGCACCGTGGTTATTGAATTCTGCGATATGTCGATCCTCGTGATAGCATAGAGCAGTTCGTTATTCTTTGCGCTTAACTTCTTATTGACATGAAGTACGGCGTTGATCAGCCATTGCGACCTAATTTGTGACAATCTGCACTGTTGATCGTGCCAATTGATCATCGTAGGAATAGTTGGAAACGCGATGGAGCAGTTAACACCACCAAAGCTCGAGAGGGCAGAGAAGTGCGAGGACGTCTGGGTACCCTCGGTCATTGCTTTCTTATTAATTTTGTACTCTGCGTCCGGGTAAGCTTTGATCGAGAGCAGCTTGGCGGTGAGTATCTCATCGCCGTTGCGAGCGGCAATTTTAAGAGCCGAACAGTCGTTATCGATGGCTCCGTGCTTCAGTAGCATTTCGACGATTTTGACATCTCGGTTCTGGCAGGCCATCGCCAAGACCGTCGTGTAAGCGCTGTCCGAATCATTCGGTTCGTGCTGATGTTTAACCGGGAGATTCGTATTCGCTCCCGCCTACGTAAACACATAGGGTTAGTTATTCAAGGTTAAGGAAGAAATAATTTTGATCAAATTTATAGATCAATTGTTCAAATTATTGGCAAAATTAAATAATAGGAATTAGAATTATGTAAGTAGAAACGATCGTTAAGAATGTGTAATTTATAGATGGAAAAAACAAAAACGAATTTTTTTTTTTTTTTTTTTTTTTTTTTTTTTTTTTTTTTTTTAAATTAATCCATGAAAAAAGTATTTCGAGTTGATATATTAAATGATTGATATATTAAATGTATCGGATGAAATAATTATAAAATTAATTTTTTGTTTTAATTTTGTCAAACATCGTTTAATCAATGGCATGATTCATGTTTTATTTATTTTTCGCATGCATATCCTAGAAATATTTATGCTGAAAAATGAATTACTAATAACTAAATTGCCAGCAAATTTATCGCATTACTTTAATTATATGTAAAATCCAGTTTCTACACCTTTTCTACACTTCTTCTACATTTTTACCAAAATCTAGTCGAATATGGATTTTTATCTTTCTCTTTGGCAAAATTGCAGGCTTTAGTTTGTGCATTTAATTATTTTAATTTTCAATTATTGCAATTAAATTGCCTTTATAGGAAATCCATAGACATGACTTGTTTAAATTAGACTTTTTTCAATATAATGCCAGTAGATAGAATTTATTCCAGCTTATTAGAATTAGCCTATATTAAATTGCACAAGGGTTAAAGGGTTATAGTTACCGGTCTTTGTCTTTGTAAGGTCATCAATGATTTAACAAACGCAAGTAAAGTGTCCTTAACCGGAGCGAAAATATAAATAAATTAATATGAGAAACAATAAAATATTGTAATAATAAAATAAAAAACGAAAAAAATAATAAACGCAATAAACATGTAAATAAAAGATGCTAAATTGGACGCAAAATACCTGTAAAAGTACGTTAATGACGTCTGTGTGTCTGGCCTTAACTGCTGCATGCAGCGCTGTATACGTGTTATTATTACAATACAAATCCAAGTTCAGTGGACACATGAGATTTTCATCCTTCTTTTCACCAGAACGACCCATGAAATTCAGACTGGACATTAGTCGTTGTATACCACTGGATATACGTCTCTTGGCCATGGGCACCGGCATAGAACTGCTGGTGGACTCTTCATCCTTCACGTTCCGTGTCTTTACTTTGTAGTTCAATAAGAGTTCGACTATCTTAACATTGCCAAGGATACTCGAGATGTAAAGGATGTTGTGGTCGGTGACATCCTGAGTGTTGATGTCGAATGGCATTTCATATTCATACTCACCAGTAGGGTCCTTGAATCTATTTAGAATCGGGATAAAAAGCCCTTTCAAACTAATTTGCAAAAACCTTTGAAAATAATTTTCTTCATTGCATTTAATATAACACTTAGCGTACGATACAAAGATGTTGATGAATTTAGTAATTTAATACACAAGGAAGATTATAGAGAAAAAAAAGAAGAAAAAAAAAGAAAAAGATATAATAATAGCGTAGAGTGTCTCAACATAATGAAAAGTTAACCTTCGAATGGTAATGTTAGTTCCGTAAAATGATCTCATGTTGAAATATTGCTCGATAGCCGACGTTTTACGACATATCGAATGACAAATGCAACGAATCGAAGTAAATAGTGCAATTCTTCGTAGCAAACTTGTCTGTCACGGTCCAAAGAAACCAATTCCCGGCAAAAGAGAAAATGTTAATAAATTATAAGTTGAAGAAAGTAGCATAGCGCTCAAGCGTGCATTCACTGATATAGATCTTCAATTTAGCGGAACGTAATAGAAAATGCAAGAGTCACGTGACCGCGAGACGCACACCTCTGATACAAGTCCGCCGGATAGTCAAACTTGAGAAGGAGCTCGATTACGGCGTAATGGCCGTTAATAGTGGCCGCGTGGATGGGCAGCCACCGCTCGACCGTCAGTGCCTGCACCTGCTTGGGGAACTGTCTGAGTAGCAGCTCCACAATGTCCAATTTGCCGTTGTAGCAAGCGATATAGAGAGGACAGTATTTGGTGACCGGGTGTATGGTGCAGTCGGCCCCGTGGTCCAGCAGGAGCTTCACCACGTCGCGCTGACCGGTCTCGCAAGCGACGAAGAGGAGGGTGTTGGCACCGCTCGGGGCCAAGTTTATAGTGTGCTCGAGGTCGGCTGCCGTGAGCTCTTGAATAATCATCCGAGCGACAACGCAGTCGCCTTGCATGCACGCCTGTCTTAGAGCCGCGTGCGTCTCTAATCGTGCCTTTTTCTTTCTGCGAATATTGAAAGTTCATTATTATGTGAGAGGATCACTTGATTTGGAGTATTTAGCTCTTTCTCTCATCTTTAATATTGCGAGCTCGACTGTTACGATTACGCAACTGCGAGCCCGTTATATGCACGCATGTAAATGAATTCGGTTTGTTTATGGTACATACGGTCACAAAAAATCAATGTCTTTGCTCTATGATTCTTTATTAATTCATATAATGTGGAATTTTCAATATAATAAAATTGTAAAATTTATCTTAAATAGGGGAGTACCGAGATTTTGCGAGGAATATGTAAAGTAACGACCGGTTTAGTGCATAAGAAAAATCATAATAAAATTTTCCAAAATTGTAAGCTTGTATCGATTTCACAGGTAATCTCAATCTGTCGCGAATATTCGTTTTCTCATATTATAAAGATCATGGGCTACGGGTAAAAACAAATTCTATCGAGAAACAAATTCTATACGCGAAAGAAAAATAAAGCAGCTATTTGCGTATGTTAGTTTTTTCATTTTCATCTTTTTTACGATACCCGCATTAATGTTCCCGTAAAATATGATTCAAAGCATGAAAAGTACGAATCGTGGAGGTAAACATTTGAATAAATGTCGTTTAATTTAAAGTGCCTCTGCTTGGAACTAATTGCACTTCACCGAAATGGCGAATAATTATTTAAATTTACTTTTGGTCGAAGCCTCATTAATTAAACAGTCGAACAAGACATTCGGAAAAAATACTTTGCAATTTAGCTTGAAAGTAAATTCGCCTTCAGTACTATATCGTCACTTATCGGGGGTACAAAAGAAAAAAAAACAAAAACAAAAAAAAAAATGGATACATGCACGAATGTGGACGAAGAACTTACTTCTCGATGGCTTCCTTCAGGATCTCGGAGCACTTGCCGTTCTCGTTCTTTTCGCAAAGGCCAAGGGCCGTGAAGCCGGAGCTGTCGGTGAGGCTGAGGTTGGCCTTGTATTCTAGGAGTTTCTCTATGTTGGAGGCGTGTCCGTGTTCGGCGCATATATGAAGGGGCACACGATATTGGCCTCGGGGACCGCATGACAGATTTGCGTTGGCACCCGCGCGTAACAGGACCTCGAGGCAACGCGAGCTCTCGGTAATGGCGGCTGCATGTAGAGCTGTCCGACCCCATGAGTCTTGGCTGTTGATGTACTCGGCTAAGTCACCCCGTAGCAGGTCCTCGAGGAGCTCCGCATTGTCCCAGAGGGCGGCCTGATGTAGCAGCCGACCTTGGAAGTCCTCGTCCACCGGCGTGTAGTCCTCCATGGCTGGTCGGGGTGACGAGCTTTTCTACCTGCAAATTTCAGATATCGAACAATTTGAAATTTTCGCTAATAGTCCTCTAGATGTTAATAAATACCCGCTTTGATTTATTTATAATTAAAACGAAATTTAGCGAAGAGTGATTCATATAATATATATATTTGCACATTCATTTATCTATTGTAGGCTCTTCAATATATAAAGATAGATTTATTTTTCATATTTTTTACAATATATTATATTCTAAAATGTATTACAAAAAATTCTATAAATTAAACGATTTTTTTCACATAAATTTTTTTCTTCAAAATACGAAAAAGGAATTAAAAATACTTACCTTTACATATAAAATTGCACTAAATTGTTATATACATTCAGTCTTATTATTCATATGAGTTTTCTTTAGTTTTAAGTAATGTTATAATTTTATTTTTAAATCTTTTAATTTTTATTCAAATTTCTTATAATATTCAAAATTTGCTCAAATTAAAAAACTGTACAATAACTATCGTTCGATATTATTAAATTATTTTCTGTATTACAACAATAATAACAACGACAACAAAAACAAAAACAACAAAAACAACAACAACAACAACAACAACAACAATATCAATATCATTTTATTTTCTTAAATCACAAACAAGCTGAAGCATTTATTGAAAATAAGATGTATATTTTGTAGTAAAAAATATTGCTTTGCTATAAATATATATGTGTGTATATATATATATATATATATATATATATATATATATATATATGTATGTATGTCTATTAAACATAAACTGAAATATTTTTATTATTCATTTATATTATATACAGTACACAACGCTCACACTGCCTTTCTCTCTACAAAAAATATTTAAAATAAAATATGAAAATTACTGAATTTAGAGTTAGAAAATTACTATAGAATTTAATTAATTTAATTTAATAGATTATATTTTGAATTTCAAATATAAAAAATGCATTGAATTACCATATATTTACATTATAATTGTATGAGAAACATAGTAATATTGTGAAAGTAGAGCAATACTTAATTTACATTGTTTGTGGTATTGACTAATCAATCACATTCTTATTTATATTAATTTATATTTTTTTTAAATTATAATTTATGAACTGATGTTACACCACACATTACATTATAAAGATTAAATTATTTTTACATATGAATTGGAAGATCGTTATTTCAAAGGATTATATCAAATGACCAGTAATTTAATAAAAAATTTAAATTACAGATCGTTAAAACTGTAGGATTAAAGTATTATTTATTATATAACATGGACTTTTATGAATCGATGATGGTCGTAATATATAAGAACATTTACTTAAATAATATGTATAAAGTTAGAAAGGAAATCCAATAATATTTTAGATAAAAATTAATTTTTGGTATTTTGTATAATAGAGAATTATTTGTATATTATTTATTTACAAATAAAATTTTTTATATTTATATAATGAGAATTTAATGCTGATATTTATCATTATTAAAGGAAGAAATGACATTGTAAAAAGTTTCATTTATCATAATTTGTAAAAACTTTGTTCATTTTCTACTTTATACTCATAAATCATTGGGAGTCAAATTTATAAATATAAATTAACAGAGTAATCAAATAATAAGCTTCAATAAATCTTATAATCATATTAATAATAATACGCATAATTTACAATGCAATTATATAAATTATTCATAAACAATTTAAAAATCAATAAAAATGCGTTTCCTCTTTTGCAAATGTTTGCTCAAACGTTGAGGTTAAAGTCGATATAATAATAATGTAAACGGCAATTTGCACGAAAATATGTTATATGTGCATCAATGAGACAGACATCGATTAAATTTACAAACAAGTAAAAATCTATGAAAAATGATTTTCATTATCTACCTACGTAGGCCTTAGCACCAAACATAATAATAATCCCATTGTCGGCGACGAGTAGTGGAAAAAAAAAAAAAAAAAAAAATATTCATCGATAGTAAGCAGCAGTGTATTTTTCTGCATAAAAGCTGAGATTTGATTCGATACTCATTTTCATAGCAGCGAAGTAAGCACTCCTTCTCGAGACAATCGTCTAAACTTGACAACTCGTTATCTTCCCTTCAATTATTAATTTCATCACTTTACTTTTATTCTCGCCATTTTATCCAATATTATCTATATGCGTTTATACTGCCTCACGTAATCTAATTTCATTTCGACAAAGTATGCGCACGACGATGTGACATTCATTGGTGATTCGGGTCGCGCGAAATTTAAATAACTCGTTATGGATTTGTAAAAGTAATCTTTCGCCTCTACGCTTATAAAAATTCTCTTTAATTACGTTCGCGTATTCTCTATAGTTTCGATGTTCAAACACGTAGGAGTACAATGTATAGCGCCTGTAATAGACATCGTAATCGCGGTTTCGTATAGAAGCTGTAGGGATTTAAAAAATAGTTAATTTCCGATGCATAAATATAAGTAACAAGCGATGATATTTAAGATTATTAATTATCTAAAAGGTAGGTGAAAGTTTTTATACAATTTAATTTATTAAGATTTGTTCGGCTGGTGTTTTCATATTTAATCAGACGAACTGCGATAAACGGCTCCTTGATAATTTACGAATGAATTAAATAAATGAAGTATCAAAATAAAAGTTATTATAAATCGTTTATAAGCCATTTGTATATAATAATTTAACTGCTTATTCATTATTGTGCATCCACATAAATAATTATTGCTAATACATAATTACCTACTATAAATTTATAATAAATCTACGCTCGTGGCAGTACATTGTCGAGTTTTTTTTTTTTTTTTAATTTAATTAGCAATCAAACGCTTATTCCAATATTAACACCATTATAATAAATAATATTAAACATTACAATATTTAAAAATTAAATTTTCAATTTCACGAGGAATTAAATTTTCAATTTTAATTCCTTTCTAAAGTCATAAAACAAAATTGCCATGTATAAAACTTTTATTACAAATTTAAGTCTAATTACATTGCATATGTATATCATTATCATATCATCAATATCATATACATCACACATACAATCATAAAGCTTTTTATAAAATTTATGTAGAAAATGGAATAAGTGCGTATATTTTTTATTAACGTTATATATATATATATATATATATATATATTGTATGTCTTTAAATATTAAAATAAACCGAATGAATTGTAGTAATGTCTTACACGTTTAAAATTGTCTGTAAGTCGTTATGCTTAGGTAAAGTCTTTATAAATAATTTGTGAAATCGCATGTTTTCAAATACTTTATTTTATTTCTTACCTTTATGTATAGCACGCTTTAATGCATATATTTTATTACATATAAAAATACGAAACAAAAATAATCTTATTACTCAATAAACTCGACATTCGATGGAAATAAAAAAAAAAAAAAAAATAAGAGTTGGACACATGAAAATTGTGATATTATTACTTGTTCTCTTTGGCATTTCAAACGTTTTGCATACAGGTAGACAAGAATCGCTTGTACGAGTTTCAATGAAAATATGCAACTGTACGCGAATTGTTCGAGCGAATTTCTTCTTAAAGCAGAATAGAGCACAGAAGTCGTGTTGCGGTTTGTTACACGCGTGATTGGCTACAAAATCAATTAACTCTCGGGTTCATCCTTTATTTGTAATTCGTCTCCGTCTTTTCCAATATTGCTGGCATTATTCGTTTTTCCTCGCGGTTTCCGATGCTCTTCCTTTAGCTTTTACATTTCTGTACAATTATCATTTTTCGAAACAAATGGCAATATACAGTTCATACGCGTTACATTAAGCATGCATTAAATATAGCTTACATTGGCTCTTTAATTTTAAAGATTTAATATTGGTGTGCATAATTAAATGAAATAAAAACATTTCTTTATAAAATAATTTTCTTATTAATTTTTTTAATAAATTTCTATATAAATAAAGTTTAAAACACATTTGACATCTTTGTCAATTTATTAAATTTTGATATAATTAATAATAATTTATAATTGTTTTATTATTCATATTATATGTATATATGCGTGTATTGTAGATATTAAATTATATTTGAATTTTTGAAAAAAAAAGAAAAAAATAAATAAAATAAGCAATGTTAATTATTGGCTGCTGCGTGCAGAGTACGGGACACCAGTAGAAAGTGTAGAAGAAAAAGAAACAGCCATAACTTTCAACTTTTTACTTTTAATCGTTGAAATAAAAAAATTTCCCAATTATTTTTCATTATCTATATAATTGGATCGAGCAATATTATGATCTGAGGAACGCGTAATCGTGGTCGACAACGAACCTTGGCTTAAATATCGCCTTTCAAAGTATTTGCATCTCTTTTTTTGTTTAAATTATGTAATTTACTTATGAAATATTTCAAAATATAAATTTTATGTAATTTTGTATACTACATAATTAATAATACATTTTTTTTTGTTTTTTTTTTTTTTTTTTTTTTTTTTTTTTTTGTTTTTTTTTTTTTTTTAAAAAGAAATAAATAGTAAAATTTTATTCATGTTTTTATAATTGCAATTAATCGTCGAATGGCTGAAAATCACGTAAAAATTTGATTTTTTTTTTTTCGTAAAGGTATAACGATTACATTATTATAAATTTATTTACAAATATTAATGTAACAATTATTGTATTATATTTATTTAAATGAGAAGTAGGAAAACGGTTTTACGGAAAATTAGTGGTTATACACTTAATATCACAAATATCGAACATCACTTACATACCGAAGAAAATGAAAAAAAAATGCAAATTTTTATGCGATTTCATTTAATTCTAAACCAATGATATTCGCCATAATATGAATAAAGATATTGGGTATGTACATAGTATCAGTATTTTGTACTTTATTAAAATTTATTGTTAATCAGGTTGACTGCCTTCGATAATGAGTGCTCGAGCAAGATTCCGTGCAGCTGCCAACCGGAATATTCCGACTTTATCTTGGAATTTAGGATCATCGCCATGATTTTCAATCGAGCGCAATAATTCAAATGTATCTCGAGATGAAAATACTATGTCGTTGGTTTCGAGTAGTGGAATGGCGTCGGTCAGGAGGATTGACCAAAAACTAAAAGATAAATCAGTTACTTGTAGATGTAAATTTGTTAACAGAAATAGCTTAAAAAAAAAAAAAAAAAAAAAAAAAAAAAAGAAAGAAAAAAAAAAGAAAAAAGAAATTGTCTAAATTACATAAAAAATGATTTTTTATATAATTACTTACTATCTTGGAGTTAGATTTGAGACAATCAGGGAAATAAGTAATCTCGCTGCCTCTTTAAACTCTCCAATACCGTACATTTGATGAAACTCACAATACTTACCTAAAAAAATTTTTAAATATAGCGATTACGGTGATTATTTTTATGTAAGTATTGAAAATAAAGTATTTTAATTGGACGGCGTGTGTTGTCAAACAAATTTTAAAAACATATTCACATACATTCTAAGAAGATTAATCATTGCATAGTCAATTCTCTTTAAAAATCGTGCAGCTTATAAAAGTATCTTTCGTTACGATAAGTTCTGGCACATCACAAACCTATACATTACGTTCTGTCCATTAATTAATTTAATATAGTTCTATCGATTAACCAACCAAGAAATGTGAGCCTTTCGCTAGCAAGCATACAGGTTCCTAAGTTCTCAAGCAAATCCCGACACTGTATTTGAGAAAGCGATCGGCGATGTGCGAAGCGAACAAAGTATCTTGACCCTTAAGCGCCCATGCAAGTCCATTTCCTAGTCGTCCTTGATTGATACACTTTATTCCTTGAATTTTACATATGCTGGAAACTAATCGCATATTTCTCTATTATTATCTCTCTGTTACATTGAAATGGTGTTTTTCAAGAATTTTAAAATGAATATAAATTTTACGTTATACTTCCATATCAAATTTTTTACAAAATTATCTTAAAATTAAAATATTTATGTAATTTAATTTATAATTTATAATGTAATATATAAATAATTTGGAATCAACTTAAATTTTTTATGAAAACAATGAATATTTTTTTCCAACAAAATTAAAAATATTCACGTAGTTATTAGCACTAGTTGATACCTAATTAATTCATACTGGTTAATACTAAGTATTTTTTTTTTAATAATTCGTTATAATTTTTTTTAAATTTAAGATGATTACATTAATTTATATATTTAAATTGCCGTCTCTTGAATATAATTTGCTTATTTTATTTTCAATTTGAAATATATATGTATATATATATATATATATAAAGTTTGTTATAGAAAATTATTTTCTTTAATTTACCAACATGCTGCATATTATTTGCTTTTGCAAGATTGATAATTTTCTGAATTCTAGCTTCACTTCCTAAAGGAATCGTTTGTAAAAGTGTTTCTAGTCTTGTTAAGCCTTGATTAGGACAACACTCCAGATAACTTGCACCGCATTGCCATAATGAATGATGACCCATCAATGTACTTCCATAATCTAATATTAACGATTCATGTAGTAAATCAGTCACACTGAAATAAGGAACGAACATTGTTCTAAACTCTGAATTACTAGACAACTTAGAAGAATGTTTACAAAATTTTTGAATATTTTAAAAATTGTAGTCGTGTTTCTTTAATTGAAACGTAATATTAAAATTCAAATAAATATTTAACGTACTATGAAATGATTATTGAGATTTTAAAATTTAATTATTTGTCCAATACATATATATGTAATTGTCACTTACTTTACTTGATGTTTATCCATAATGTTCAATCTACCACAATGATAAAGTAAGTCTGTTAAATGCGAGGCAAACCAACCATTATCATTCATATACTGAATTTCTTTAATGATCTGATGTAAATCACTTTCTATCAAAGCCAGGATAATATTGTCTAATACCAATAAGGATGATTGTTTATACGATTGCCATTTAACGGCAATGCTATTTGCATGGCGAGTCAATTCTGGTTGTTTACAACACTGCGCAGAATAGAACAATTTCGCTGCTAGCAATTCGTACCACGCTTCTGTGTATTTTGCAAATTCCCATAATTCATTTCCAACGATTAACTATTGATTAAAAGTACATATTAAGATAATACGTACAATACGAGTAATTATAATATTAATTTGTGTGAAATTTAAGTATTTCGTATAAAGTAAAAAATAAAAATTCAAGAGTCTCGTCATAATGGATAATTTTTTAAAAATAACACTATATAATTATATCATAAAGTATTTCATATTTTATGATATCATTTCATATTTCTTTTATGATAATAAATTTGTGAAATGTTAAAAGTAATGATAAGGAAGCAAAAATTTTCTGTATAAATAAAAATTACCTTCATAAGTGATTCTAAATTATTATCAATTCCAAAAGCTTTGCTGTCAATACTTTGGGATAAACTCATTTGCCATTGTTTATATCTTATGGTAAATTCTTTGATCGAATAGCCACCATATATATTATATACCGGCATATTTCTAAGGGCATTTTCTGCTGTCATGAATGCTGTATGATCTGCTTTGCTGTGTAATGCAAGAAGTGCTCTAACAACATCGATCTTTCCATGCAAAGCACAGCCAATTACGGCTTCCCAATAATCGCTGCTTTCAATATCTATCCCCATTTTCTTTTTAGCTAATATTTTCATAGCCATTATTTCTCTAGATGGAAAATGAAATCTAACCCATTCGAGAAGTTGAGGCAAAACAATATCACCTGTAAAAAAAAATCAATGGCATAACAAATGAAATTACTTTTAATGTTTGATTTAATTTTTTTATAGGAAATTTTAAGCGGTATAAATAAATAGAATATTTTAATTTTTAATATAATAGAAGCTAATAATTATAATTATAATTGTACGAATTTTACCTGGAATAACATCGACATAAAGAATTTCTGTTAGATGCCAAACGCATTCAACATTATAGAAAATGGTTTGGAAATTTTCATACAGTGACTTATTACTTTCGTCACATTTCTCTGCGAGATCTTGTAATTCTTCTACGCAAGCTCTTAAAATAGAGCGATATTGCTTGCTATACTTTAACATCTCTGGCCTCAAATCAATTGCAGTCGAAGAACATTTTAATTTTTGGATCGATAAAAAAATACCATTACTTTCATTCACTAATTTACGAAGAGCGGGTGAAAATAAAATCACTTCTGGTCTAAGAAAATGTACTTTCGCTTCACAAGGACTAAAATTACTAGGTACATCTATATAAATTAAAATATAAATTTAAGATTTTAAAATGATTTTACCATAAATTCGTATTTTTTTATATGAACAACATACCTTTAGAATTAACGCTCAGATTTTTATAACCAAACAGGGCTAATTTATTAGGACCAACCCATGATGCAGCAATACCCGATTCTTTACAGACATCATCTGGTATTGCCTAAAATGTATCAATATAATAATAATAATTAATAAATAATTTATTTGTATATTTTCAAGTAAGTACATCAAAATGTTGCCCTCAACAAAGTAGCCATAAAAAAACAATTGCTACCTTATGTACTGTATTACAAAACTGATATTTAAAAATTTGCATATTATATATGAAATAAAAAATTAGCACAATAATATATAAATGTGCGATTAAACATTAACAATTTAAATTGAAATAAATTGGAACCTGAATTAACAGCAATAGTTTTGGAATTATTAAATATTTAAACCGGCGTTCAGCGTGAGGTTATGCATTGTTGACAGTTAATTCTCTACTTACTATAATCTGATCACTATTCTGTTCAGCCATACTTATAATTTGCACTCTATATTCATTAGCTTTACCTTAAGTCATAAAAATTTTTTTAAAATACAATTTATGTAGTGACACTATTCATCTTAAGTTTAATATGAAGGGTACGAATGCGCCATCAACGTTGTTCCAACGACCACATAGGCATGGCTGTTGCCTCGCATTAACCATCCACCTAACCACAAAATCACAGGCTCGTGTCATTACAATATAGAATTACCCGCGGAAAATTAGTTGAGCCGAGAGTACCCGAGTTACGTTATATGTGCCATATTTTCTCAAGTCCATTGCTTTCATTATATCTGCTTGGTAAATTAATGGAGGGTTTTTGTGTTGGCTTGAAGAAATACGGTACTTAATTGTATGCCAAGCGCAGCTCTTACAAGTTATAATTCTAGAGGATTTAGATATATAAGCTTGCATTTTACAATTTCTTATTTGTTAAAAAATATTTAACAATAAATAAAGTAAAATTTTTTTTTTTTTCTAATAATTTTATTAAATAACAAGTGTATTATATTATATAATGAAATTATCGGATAAGTTTACATAAAACTTTATAGCATTTATGCACAGCTTAAATACTTTTACATTATTTTATATATTTACAGTGACAATTGGTTCAAGTAATATAGACATTGATTTACTAATTCTATTATGTTTCTTTCGTATTTTCGGGATTCACTTTAATTTTTTTGTTTTTGTACTTTTCAAAGTGAGAATAAGATCTTTTATTTTTAATTGTCCTTTTGAAGAGATCTAAAATTAATTTAAAACAAACAAATTAAAAGAAATTTATTAAAAATGGATATTTCATATTTTAATATAAAATTTTATACTTACCACTATCTGGTTCTTCGCCAACCTCGTCCCTATAATATTGTGCATCGTCGTCGTCATCAGATTTGTTTGCTTCGTATGACTCTTTCGCAATTTTCTGCATGAGAATATCACTTTCTCTCTTCTTATGTATGCCTTTAAGTGATTTTTCCTTCAATTCTTGCTTTTTGGCCTCTTTCTTTAGTTTATTTTCGTCTTGTATTTTCCTCCGTTTCTCTTTCAATTTTTTATTTTGTTCGCGTTTCTTTTGTATTAGTATCTTTTCTTCTTCAGTCTTATTAATAAGTTCATGAAATAGTACTTCTCCTCCTAACAGTCCATCTTCCACTTTTATTAACTAAAAAGCGAGATAGTTAATTATTAATAACGCATAAAGTATTTTGTATTAATTTATTTTTAAAAACATTTATAAAAACACACCTGCTTGTAAATAACTATTACACACATAGAGCGAAAAGTTAAATTACCTGTAATGTAAGCCTTGGTCCAAGTTCGTATAATCTAATTGCACTTGTACTTTTCTCATGATTTCCTCTAGAGGATAATTTTTGTGGTAAAGTTACGTGACTTGCTGGATCATCTTCGGCCTCGCTTTCTGATAGCGTTGGCTTTATCATAAAATCAGCAAAATCTTGGCAGTGCGACAGATTTGGTATCTTGGCTTGGACCAATTTTTTCACACTTTTCGACAATCCAACAGGTATAACTTTAATAGCATAATGCCTAAAATCTATTAATTTTGTATCGTGATTATAATTCAGACAAACGCAACGGCGCATATTACTCAGATTGACCTGAAATTTTTAAAAATTTTTCTCATTTTATGTATATATATATATATATGATTTTTTTAATAAATATAAAGTAGTATTTACTTTCACTAAGTTTATTGTAGGGAACATATTTTGAAACATTGAAGTCATTAACTTAAAGTGCATTCCTTCTCCACTAAATTTATTCATAATAATTAATGGCGGATGTTTAAAAGCTTCTTCAAAAACAAGTTGTTTCTTTGTAGTGGAAACAACGTCACGAGCCAAGGCAAAGCTTTCAATTTTAAAACTTAACGTTGGTCCTCGTGGTATTCTAGAAAAATTTGTTAATAATTTAAAATAATTTGTAAGCTGTGGCATTTGTGAAAATACCTTATTTAATTTGTATACCTGCAAATTTTTAAATAGAAGCCAAGCTCGGTTTGTGAAAAAATGGAAATATGAGTTACATGTAAAATACCAGCGATGGACACAAAATCTTTTATTGTATTGCGTTTCCGTTCTTTTAACATGCTAGCGGTAAAGGGTTCCATGACTCTTCGAAAATCCTTGGTAAGTTCAGTAATATTATTCCCAGGTAATCCTCGATGAACAACAAAGGAATGTGGAGCTTGAACAAGTTCTTCTTTTTCATTTTTGTTAATTTGTTTATTTCGTTTCACACATCGTCCCTATGATAACAAAATTTGTATAAACATAACTTATAATAATTGAAATTTACACGATGGTTCACCTTTTTTAATCGACCCATTTTTACTAATTGTAAGCCTTATTTTATTGTATTTATATTATTTAAAGCAAATATCAATATCAATAGTTGGTAGTTACGAGATTGTATACTTTTTAAAACGTAACCTCAAATAATAAAAATTGTATCTACATCATCCAACTATCGAACACGTGTTTGCAAATCCATTTTTATATATATAATCTTATACTACTTTATCGACTGATACAATATTTCGGAATCTCTGTTAAATATACAAATGAAAAATATAAATATTTGAAAATTATAATGAAATTAAATTTGCATATTATATTATATTAATACAATAAAAAGTTATTGCATCGAATATTTGGAACGATTTCCTTTCCTTACCTTTCAACGTGTGCATTTTTACTTTAATAATTTTTACGATTTACGTTTAATTATAATAGTTGTAATTAATAAATTTTTCAAATATTTTCTGTTACTTAAAAAAAAAAGTCATATATTCTTAATATATAAAAACAATAATAAAAGTTTAAGAATATTGATTATATATGATGTTAAATATGATATTGGAATTTCTTGATGTAGAATAGTTTATTCGAGTTATAAAATTCAAAAATCATAAATGTGTAATTACTTTTAAAAATGTAACGTGTTTATATGGAATAATTTACTGAAAACCTCTATAGATGTTTTCATTTGCATATGAAAAATTAATTTCTTTCACAATAGTAATAATTTCTATTACTAATATACGTTCTATTGATAATTTGCAATATAATTCTATATTAACTAATTTTTTTAATTTTTTTTCCTAATATATATATATATATATATATATATATATATATATATAATATTTCTCATGACTTACAAAGTTTCTTATTATTTAACCGTGTCATTGTCAAAAAATACTTTTTAATTAAACGTAATAATATTATAAAAATAATTTAGATTATTCATTATTTAATTTATTATTTTATTTAATATATTTATTAATAAGTGTATAAAAATAAATAAATAAATAAATAAATAAATATATACATAGTAATTAATTTGTTTAATTTTGTTTTGGTTATTACTTAAGTGAATTTATTTTATTTTTTAATGCTTGATTTTATACTACTTATAGTTGCAATTTTATATGCTTAATTTTTATATTAGAGCTGTGTTTTATAAATATCTAATTCTCAAAATTGAAGAAAAACTTAAAACCGATTAAAGCTTTTTTACGAAAATTCCGCTACAATACATTTGTTATATAAATATTTACTTAAACCCAATTAGCTAAATTGAAATTTTAAATAATAATTTCTTTTAAACTCTTTCATCAGTTTAAAGTCAATTGTTTTTTTTTTTTTTTTTAACGAACGGTCTCGTGTTTTAAACAATAGCATACTTTTATTCATTTTTTAACTGCGATGCATCGTAATTGTGAAGAACTTCCTTTTGTTTTAGTCACTTTTAATAATACCGTTTAAATATTCGCTTGAAATTTTGCAAAATTGTAGATTAATTCATACTGAAGGGTAAATGAACCTAGATTTTATGTAATTTTTAGCTAAAGATAATTTTGCATCATTCTTCTCAAATGGTCAAATACTTTTTAATACATTTAAGCGTTTGTGACATACAAGAAAAACCGTTTTACAAAATTAAATTTGTTGGTTCAAGTGCATTTTTGTTTAATTTAATATCGTTAAGTTACAATTTAATCTTAGATATTAACATTGTCTCACATATGAAATGAGTACGTTTTGCTTTATTTAAACAAAATTGGTTTGATTTGGTTTTCATTATGTTTTCCATAACGTAAATTATACATGATTAATAAAAGTTCCTTTTATTATTTCGGTTCTTTTTAAATTTTGCAAAGAGAATTAAATGATTTTATAATATAATATTGTCATTAAACGTTATTAGCAAAACATATTAGCATACATTTTTTTTTGTGGATCTAATGTTGAACATTTTTTTTTCATAGAATTAATTTTGTATCAGAAATTAATATATTTAGATGAAAATATTTCATTTTTCATCTCTTTATTGTTGAAAACTTCAAAGAAATGAAATTTAATTATTTTAACGATTGCTGATACTTCAATATATATTGAATTAATGGAATTGTATTTTATTTCCACTTTATTTTTTAACGTTTAAAAATAAATTAAGTATAGATGTTATGCAAAAATGCAAATCGATCCACGGCGAATCGATCCTATAACGTTGTTTTTGCTTTTCTGTTCATTTCATTCTTTTTAGATAAGTAACTTTTCAAAGTGATAAAGAAATTTTTTGCTGGATTTACATTTTTATGACATTCATGAGAAAAGTCAGTTTATCAATGATTCTTTAGCGTAGGACTTGTTGAACTCTAAAAAATTCTTTTATAGTCTTTCATAGTTGATTTGAATCTTTCACGATGACTTTAAATTAAGGCATTGAAACAGTTTAAAAGTTTCTAAAATAAAATAAGAAATGGTCAATTAAATTTTTTGTATTTAAAATACTTTCATTATTATCAGTGTATGTCACATATACTTTTATCAAAAGATTTGTTTTTATTGAAAAAGAGTAAATAAAAGGAATATTTTGTAGCTATAATGATTAATTTATGCGAAATTTGAAATGTATTTTACGAATTCTTGTGTTAAAAAATTAACTGTTTATATAAAATAAATAGCTTTTTTTTGCTGCTTTTTGCTTGCTATATTTTATTTAACATTGTTGAAATATTTTTGACACGCGATACACGTATAATATATATAATTATATAATTTATGTTTAATGTATAATATTAAAACATAAATTTTAAACTATTACTAGAATTTAATCTAAACTAATATTTTTCAATCGATACGATTTTTAAAATATTCAATTAAATCTTATAAAATTTAATTATCCTTGTTTCTGATTTAATTGAAAATCTGATTTATATATATATATATATTTAAAATGAATAAAATTTATCTTTTTTTCTTTTTATATAGTTTATTCGTTTTTCTTTAACATTTTTGTGTAATTTTCTTCTAATTATTTTATTAAGCGTAATTAAGATAATAATTAAAGTTGCCTTAAAAAAAAAAAAAAAGTAGAAAATAACGTAGAAGTAATAGAAAAATATTTTTCTGAAAATAATTGCAAATTAAAACGGCGTCATGTTAAATAGAATGGCGTCAAATAATTTTGAACATGATGGAGTCTTTCAGTTTAATGACAATTAGACACTTCTGGGTTTAAATACATACATTTTTTTTACTGTTAGTGTCAGTACTCAACCGTAAACTTTAACCCATATTAATTGCTTGTGTTTTTGACTATAGTATTTTAAGATGAAAAACTAAAATTGCATTTGTTAGCCATTAAGAGGCAAAACATAAAATTAATGAAAATTAATGAGAGTAATGTGATGTATAAAAATTATAATTATATTATTTACATTTGAGTTGCATATAACGTTTCCATTTATGTATATACGAAGGATTCTACTAATTAAATAAATCAATTCATCATAAGTCACTTATTATTTCCTTTATCTTTTAAAATATAAAATTGCAGGATTTGAATGTTGACTAAATCAAGAAATTCTGACCTATATAAACATTTTCTTTTACGTAAATCATATAAATTTTTAGCACAGTATGTAAGGTTGAATTACACATTATACTTGAATATTATTATGGCAATATTTATTATCCGTGATTATAACGACAATACTTCATATTGTTGGATTCTCATAATAGGAATAAAGCTTTTTTCGTTGTGCCATATTCATTTTACGCTATAATCGAAAGTCGTTAAGAATGCAACAATCTCTAGTATGAATATTTCTACGTGCATTAAGATAATTCGCTGTCTTTATTTTATCGCTTGACTGTAATAAAAATGAAGATAATTATGAGTTTAGAGAGGCCTGTATTTTGCGCATTAGCTTTAAAATTTTTGATTTGGCTTTTAGCAGGCAAGGCATTTTCTAGCTTTTTGCACATCCATTTTCAGAGAATCCATATTATCAGTCGGGCCGTTGTGTCTCTCTGAGAATTAGTAAAGTTAGCCAATGGAAAAATAAAGCCGACGGAAGCGAGCAATTATATAATCCTTTGAAAAAATAGCCTCTTAAATTTAATTTTTTTTCTTCCCCTATTTCCTTGCGTGCTTGCACTTTGCGTCGACAAAGCCTGAAATAAGTTCACATCTGAGACCGAGCAACTCGATTTGGCACAATAGCAGTCGGAGATGAAAGTTAAAACATCTAAAAACTCGAAACTCTCCAGGCATCCGACACTGTCTCGAAATCGACACATAAAGCTCGACTGCCCTTGACTTCGTACCCATTCAAAGCTGCTGGCTCTTTCAAAGTTGTCTTCGTTTTTATCTTTAAGCGAAGGCTGCCTGCCAGGCCACAATTTCGATTGGAACTTTGGACGTCAATTTTCTTTCCTCGACGCGGCTTAAATCGTATCCCGGAGCGAAAAGTTATGTACAACCAAACCCCCCCCCCCCTCCCCCCTCGCCCCCTCTCACCCACCCGAGGCCGCGATACAGGATTATCGCGCTTTTATAAAGCCACTTTCCCGCTTTGTCAATCGGAGCAAGTGTGTCGCATCGCTTTCGCTTGACTATTCAGCGAAAAGTTTTGCGAGTTCCGCGTGACTCGACGTGGATTACCGTTACGTCTTCAGCTTCCCGCTATTCCTTTCCAAACGCGCTTTCGCCCTCGCATATACGTCCGGATGAAGTTGGCTCTGGGTTATACGGAAATGCAAGTTGTTTCTAGTCGTCGCTGTCCTCGTCCATTCCCATTGGCGCATTCATTTCACAAGTTCCGCCTCGCGACTCGTTTAATTTACATCTAATTAATTCAATCGCTTAGAACTGAAGCTCGAAAGCACTCCTCCCGACCGTCTCACTCTATTTTTATCATGGTTAAATTCTTCGGTGCTTTCTTTTCCGTGGCTGTCGCTGGGAGGCCTCGAGGGCGCGGCGGCGTTTCACTTTATTGAATTTCGCTTTACGCCCGGTAATAAATCAGCCGCTTACATATAATATTTACCTCGCAAATAATGGGGTCGGGAGGATAAAGTGGGAGGCTTTATCGGCTCGATGGGTAAGTGCAAACGTGTGCGGTTT